ATCCCAGAGGAACAGGGATGGGATCCCAGAGGAGCAGGGACAGGATCCCAAAGGAGCAGGGACAGGATCCCAGAGGAGCAGGGATTGAATCCCAGAGGAACAGTGATAGGATCCCATGGGAGCAGGGATGGGATCCCATGGGAGCAGGGATGGGATCCCAAAGGAGCAGGGACAGGATCCCAGAGGAGCAGGGATTGAATCCCAGAGGAACAGTGATAGGATCCCATGGGAGCAGTCACAGGATCCCATGGGAGTAGGGATGGGATCCCAAAGGAGCAGGGATGGGATCCAAAGGAGCAGGAACAGGATCCCATGGGAGCAGGGATGGGATCCAAAGGAACAGTGATGGGATCTGATGGGAGCAGGCACGGGATCCCATGGGAGCAGAGATGGGATCCCATGGGAGCAGAGATGGGATCCCATGGGAGCAGGGATGGGATCCCATGGGAGCAGGGATGGGATCCCAAAGGAACAGGGATGGGATCCCAAAGGAACAGGGATGGGATCCCAGGGGAGCAAGGATGGGATCCCATGGGAGCAGGCACAGGATCCCAAAGGAGCAGGAACAGGATCCCAGAGGAACAGGGACAGGATCCCATGGGAACAGGGATGGGATCCCAAAGGAACAGGGATGGGATCCCAAAGGAGCAGGGATGGGATCCCAAAGGAGCAGGGATGGGATCCCATAGGAGCAGGGATGGGATTCTAAAGGAGCAGGGATGGGATCCCATGGGAGCAGGGATGTGATCCCATAGGAGCAGTGAAGGGATCCCATAGGAGCAGGGACAGGATCCCATGGGAGCAGGGATGGGATCCCAAAGGAACAGTGATGGGATCCCAAAGGAACAGGGATGGGATCCAAGAGGAACAGTGATGGGATCCCATAGGAGCAGCAATGGGATCCCATAGGAGCAGGGACAGGATCCCAAAAGAGCAGGGATGGGATCCCAGAGGAGCAGGGATGGGATCCCAGAGGAGCAGGGATGGGATCCCAGAGGAACAGTGATCATATCCAAAGGAGCAGCGATGGGATCCCATAGGAGCAGGCTCATCCAGAGGTGATTTAGGCTGGCTCAGTACCTGAGGGAGGGGTTCTTCTCCTTGGCCTTGGGCTGCATGGCCTGTTTGGGGGACTGGCCCACGGTGAAGGCGAAGGTGCCGCGCACGTGCTGGGGGTAGCGCAGCTTGTGCAGGTGCTTCCGGAAGATCT